ATCATTAGGTTTTAGTTCTCAAAAAAAACGAGTGGAGGCTGTGTTAAAAGACAGTAATCATTTGCTGGTTCTTATTTTTTTTTCAGGCCATTCCCTCTGTTACAATTGTGCAAATATTTGGAAAAGTACATCCATGTTTAGGGAGGATGAATTGCAAGAGTCTGAGCATGCTGATCAATATTGGAGGAATAAGATGAGATTGTGTGGCTGGACTAAATGAGACTCAAGTGGTCTTTTAAGTAAAGGATGGCCTCCGGGTGTGTTAACCTTTGTCTTGCATAGCCTTAGGCCTGTTAATGATTTTACCGTCTTAGGGTACAAAGAGGAACTCCAAAATGGAGGGACATGACTAGGCATGTCTGACCTCCCTTGTCCTAATACCCACGACTCAGTTTTAATGTTTTTTCTGGGTCTCCTTGGCCAAGAGGGGTCCATTTAGTTGCTAGGGGCTTAAGATTTATTTATTCACCAACTCAGGAACTGCCTCTCTTTCCCTATACAAAAAAATCCTCCGTTAACTCCTGCTTAATCAAATGTTATACTTCAATGGTTCCTGGGTTGCAGTTGTTAGAGCTGGTTTCTTTCCGCCCCAAGAACAGAGAGGCAGAATCGCTGAGCTGCAAAGCACAAGAGTTATTGGCTAGCCCGAGCTAGGGTCCAGTCCCAGATGCCAACATAGCAGTGCTCCCTAGGACCAGGACCCAGCCCTGGGTATAAGTCAAGCTTTTATACTTTTCTGCAAGTTATACCGGGGTACGCCTTCCCCCCCTCCCCCCTTATCCACTGGTTCTTTAAAAATGGCTGATCCTGTCGGCTCCTGATTGGCTCCTTCAAAAGCAGCATGCGTCATTTCGGGGAAGGGTGCAGTCCCCGAAGTTTTGAGAAACCGAAACTTAGGCCTACTCCAGGAAGTGCAGCCTGTCATGGAGTCACTCTGCTCTCATTCCTGTTTACACAGTGCTCAGCTTGGCCCAGGTAAACTCTCTACTTAAATTCATTTTGCCTCAGCTTATTTCTTTTAGGTCAACACTGCCTACCCTACCTCCAGTGCTGCTTCCCATGGAAAACAAATGAAAGCTCTTGCCCATGTGCCCCGCACCTCCAACTCCTGACCAGCCCTGGCGCTGTCTGGGTGGCCCACCCTGCCTCCTGTTTCTAGAGATCTGTGAGGATAAACGTTTGCCTTTCTGATAGCCATTTGTCCTATCTTACCATACCTGATTAAAACAAATCCTGAGTACCCTTAAAACAAGAACAATACCATTGAGAAAAAAAAATATGCTCAATTATTCTAATTAAACGAGGCGGTATATGAGGTAAAATTCAAGCAAAAGAGCATTTCTTCAGTATTCCCAGCAATAGCTTCAACAATACCTCGGTATTTCCCTAAAATGAGAAATAAGAAATACAAGTAATACAAAATGTTAGATGATACTATTTTAAAGGCTTTTATAAGAACTTTGTATTACCAGCAGAAAGCCATTTAAACTGAATTATCATTTTCTTGTTTCCAATGAGAGAAAATTTGTATGTCTTTAAATTCAGTCAGCATGGAGCCCATTTATTATATTTCCCAAGTATAACATGATTTTTTTTTTTTTGAGACAGAGTCTCGCTTTGTTGCCCAGGCTAGAGTGAGTGCCTGGCTCAGCCTAGCTCACAGCAACCTCAAACTCCTGGGCTCAAGCATCCTTCTGCCTCAGCCTCCCGAGTAGCTGGGACTACAGGCATGCGCCACCATGCCGCTAATTTTTTTTTTTTTAACATCTGGTCGAATAATTTTTTAATATATATCAGTTGGCCAATTAATTTCTTTCTATTATTAGTAGAGACGGGGTCTCGCTCTTGCTCGCTGGTTTTGAACTCCTGACCTTGAGCAATCCGCCCGCCTTGGCCTCCCAGAGAGCTAGGATTACAGGTGTGAGCCACCTCGCCCAGCCTATAACATGATTTTTAATAGTTTTTAAGAAACTAGCCTAGGAGGTTTTCAAATATTACATATGATTTATAGCAAAATAACTAAAGAATATGCATTATCAAAGTTTATTTTAAAATAGTCACTAAAAGTGAAATGTAAAAAAATTTTATTGCTAGATAGGTAATGTAAATATCTAAAATTACAATGGTATTATTCATTGAGCCAGTAGTTATTAATATTTTTACAAAGGCCTGGACGTCCAGACTAAGTTCCCAAGAAAAATCTTGAATAAAATAAGCCTATAATCTATGTGATTTTTATTCTCCTAAACATTTTTTACATTATGTTTAGTATATTACATGAATAGTTATAAAGCGTTACTAACTTATACATAGTGGTATCCAGTACTTTCATCTGAAGACTATTCAACATGTTAATAATGAGCATTCACATTACTTTTAGGCATGCATGTTAGAGGAAAAAATGAAATGAAAAAGAACTATCTTTTGTGCAATTTTTCCATATTCTACAGAAAGAAGAAATTCCAAAATACTGAATGAATACCAAATAAAAGTGGGGAAAAAAAGATTTTTGAACATCTTAATCTTGAATCACTATTTCTAGAAGTTGTGAATTGCATGTTTGCAATTCTTAACACATCTGTTACTGCAAAAGTCTAAGAAAGTACAAAATAAATCTAGAACAATACCTTAGAAAATCTTATTCCACTGAAGGAGAATGATACTGTTGTATTCACTGTCTCTACAAACAAAATACCAAATACAAAATGTTATTGGTCATCATTAGGTAATTTGTTTCTTAATAGTATAGAGTGTACTTTTATGGAGTACACTTAACTACTGGCAGAAGCAGTCTTAAGCAAAACTGTAGAGAAGTAATAAAGCTTATACCCTGGCTACTAATCTACCGTGGCTTCCTCTGCCCTCCTCCCCACAGCTTCCCTATGTACCATCCCATATCAATCCTTAGGGGATACAAATTTTAAGGCCCACTGGCCTCAGTAACAAATAAATGATGAATAAGCTAGTTCATACCAAGTTATATATGCACATACTTAACTCTAGTTTTCAGATATTGCTGCACCTTTAGCTGGGTATAATACAGAAGAATCTTCCTAAAGGCAGAAGAGATAGTTTAGTGGCAACCTGTATACTAAAGTTCCTTCCAATCACACGACTGAGAAGCCCATGTATTTAGCCTTCGTTTAAACACAGAGTCATGGGCCTGACCCTGCACAAGCTGTGAAGCATGGAGTCAGAAGTGCAGGAAAAACCTCATTCAACTATTCTAGTCAGAACAAAGTAGTGAACTTGGAGAGTAAGGATAGAAAGAGATATTTTGAATCTCAAACCAAAGACATAGTGATCAAAATCGTTTTAAAAAAATTATAAATAATTAAATGCCAAACTATAATGGTTATTGTCCCAGAAATAAATGGATTATGTCTGTATGTACACTTCTATGCTCAAAAAGTAAGCATTTCTTTATTTAATTCTGCATGTGTCCTTCCTAACAGTGCTAATGCACTGAGATGTTCCTTGAGCTTAATAAAGTGGTAAAGTGGTCATGCTTCATAATACTTTTTTTTTTTTTTTGGAGACAGAGTCGCACTCCATTGCTCTAAGTAGAGTGCTGTGGTATCAGCCTAGCTCACAGCAACCTCAAACTCCCAGGCTCAAGCAATCCTCCTGCCTCAGCCTCCCAAGTAGCTGGGACTACAGGCATGCGCCACCATGCCTGGATAATTTTTCTATTTTCAGTAGAGACAGGGTCTCACTCTTGCTCAGGCTGGTCTTGAAATCCAGAGCTCAAGCAATCCTCCCGCATCGGCCTCCCAGATTGCAAGGATTACAGGCGTGAGCCACCGCGCCCGGCCACGTCTTCATAATCTTATGCTCTTTCATTCAAGGCCAATCCAATTCTAAAATTTAACAGGTCAACTAATATTTATTGAAAGCCTACTATGTACCAGGGACTGGGGAGACAATGGCGTATATAACACTTGTCCCTTCTCTCAAAAAGCTAAAGTCTGTTGGGGACATAGGCATGCAAAGAAACCATTCCAAATACAATATGCAATGGGAAAGATGCAGTAAGGATAAAGGCGGTATAGCATTTTTGGTACGAGTGATGGCTCTGGGGCCAGAACTGCTTAGGTTTGAATCCCAGCTCCTCTACTTACTCAGTGTGTGACCTTGGGCAAGTCACTTAATTTTTCTGTGCTCTGTAAAATGGTGATAATAATACCTACCTTGGCCGGGGGTGCGGTGGCTCACGCCTGTAATCCTAGCACTCTGGGAGGCCGAGGCGGGCAGGTGTGAGCCACCACGCCTGGCCAGGAAAGTTATTTTAAATATATATATGTATGGTACTTGCCAATTTGACTTCCAAATTTCAAGGGTCTCTTGACAGGACAATGCTTCTTAAATCAGAATGTCCTAAGCTCTGGGCCCACATACTCAGCTGCCAGATGGACATGTTTATTTGAATGTTCCAAAATTACCTTGAGCTCAACATGCCCAAACTCATTATGTTTCTCTTAAAAAATCTGCCTCGTCTTTTGTATACATCGTCTCAGATAATGGCACTTCCATGTATCGACTCACCAGCCATCAAGTGGTTCTTGATTTTACCTAATCCTTGCCTGCCACATCAAATCAATCAGCCCACCCTGCCAGTGCTGTTTCCCAGAGTGCTCTCTTTCCTGTCTTCCCTTCTACTCCCAGGGCCGCCATCTTTGCCTAGCCCTCGTGGTCTCTCACACAGCTTCCTGGCTGCTCTTCCTTCCGCCCAGGTGTCCTGCCTCAGCCAACCCCCGCCTCCTTCCATATGGACGATAGTTATCTACAAAAATGGAAATCTCAGTGGGTTATCCCTGCCCACTGACTACAGGCTACCAGCCAATCTTTTGTGCATGACTTACATGCTCACCCTGCCACCATTTCTAGGCTCATCTCCAGCAATTCCCCACAAGCACATACCGCTCCAACTACAAAAAAAAAGCTCTCCAAATAAACCATACTCTTTCATGACTAGATATGTTTGCATATGCTGTTTTCCTCTCCAAGGAATGTTCTTCCCCCTCACTCTCTGAGATTCTGAGATTCAAGACTCTAATAAAATACTCTATGATGACTTATCTGATTTTTCCTGTCACGCTTATTTAATAAATTATAGAGTTAAAACTAATAGTATATAATTTTATTAGCATTTATGACATTTCATTGTAAATTTTGGTCCCTTGACTGTTTTTTCCCAGATTAGAGTGACTCTGTCAGGAAGGAGACCCTACCATTCAACTTCAGATCACCAGAACCTAAATTATGATTTGCTCAAATTAGGTTCAACAGATGTTTGTGGAAGGAAGTAGGGGGAGGGAGAGAAGAAGCAGGCAGGCTGAGTTGAGTCTGACACATCTTAGATCACAAGAAAGTGAAACTTTGAAAATTCAGATACAATGTCAACATAATCCCACAGAGATTATGTGAAATAACTGTAAAACAGTCATGCAAGACTAATGGATGATTTCTTTTTTTTTTTTTTTTTTTCTGATTCAGAGTCTCACTCTGTTGCCGTCCTATGATGCCATGGCATCACTAGCTCACAGCACTCAAACTCCTGGGCTCCAAGCAATCTCCTGCCTCAGCCTGCAAGCGAGCTGGGACTACAGGCCATGCCCACCATGCCCAGCCAGTTTTTCTTCTATATACTTTTTAATTGTTAACAGCTAATTCTTCTATTTTGTGAGACAGTCTCACTCTTGCTCAGGCTCGTCTCGCACTACTGACCCCTTAAGCGATCTCCCACCTTGCCTCCCAGAGTGAAGGTCCACCGTGCACAGCACATTCTTTAATTTAATCGAAAACCATATAAGACTGAGTTTTACTGTCCCATTTACGACTAACGGAAATGAGGCAAGAGAGCTTAAATAAACCACCCAATTCATGTTGCTCATAGATGCGAGAACCTAGAATACCCGGAGACCTCAGGTTTTGTGACTACAGCCCAGACTCATAAACAACGCAGCTCCATACCCTGCACATTGGTTTGGGGTGGCAGACCGCCAGTTAAGAAAAGTGAAGAAGATGGTTGCAAGAGTATGCGATGTTGAAGGGCTTCATTCCATAGGCAGCGCAAGTAATTTTTACTTAGAACGCGGGTTAGAACTATTTTTTAATGACTGCTAAGAGTAAGTCAATTAAATGTCCGCCCCTCAGAGTGAATGTATAGACTTTCTGCTTATAGAAGTTTTTACTATTTTCTCATTCTATTAATTCTTTTTTTTAATAAAAGATTATTTTACCGTTTATTTCTTTTTTCTTTTTAAGATATAGCAGAAACAGAACCGTGGTTTCATCATTAATTCTTAACCGCTCATTTCCAATTATGCTCCCATCGTACTATCTACCATTATCCCAATCATCGTAAATATAATATACATATGTAACCTACCTGAAACTACAGGGTACAAGGTAATGGTAATAATTAGTGGGCCATAAACTCTGTTGTAAAAGTAATTTAAAAGTTACTAACATGGCGAGACTCACCCTGTCAACTAGCCACTCTGGGAAGCCTGAGGCTGGAGGCATTGCATTTTTTTTTTTTTTTTTTTTTTTTTCTTTTTTTTTTTTTTTTCTTCTTTTTTTTCTTTTCTTTTTTTTTTTTTTGCTCTTTTTTTTTTAAGGTCACGAGTTTCAAGACCAGCCTGAGCAGAGTGGACCTCTCTCTACTGAGAAACAGGAAAAATTAGCGTGGGGCAGCTAAAAAGTAGGAACAAAACATAGCCAGGCATGGCTATGCACCTATAGTCCCAGCTACTTGGGAGACGAGGGCAGGAGTCTCTTGAGGCCTACGAGTTTTTTTTGGGAAAGTTTGCTGTGGAAGGCTAGGATGTAATGCTGCGGCAGGCCTCACCACAGGTGATTAAGAGACTCCTGTCTCAAAAAAAAAAAAGTTAATAAAACAAGTATTAACTATGAGCTTTTTAACCTGTTTTTTTTGTTTTGTCTGTTTGACAGTCTACTCTGTTGCGCCGGACTAGAGGGCGTGCAGCAGCTTCTCGCCCACAGCAAACGCAACAGAATCGCTGGGCTCAATCAAATCTTCTGCTCAGCCTGAGTGAGCTGGGAGCTACGGCCATGCGCCACATTGCCTGGCTAATTTTTTGTCTATATTTGTAGTTGGCCCCCAACTAATCCTTTCTATTTTAGTAGGATGGGGGGTCTTCACTCTTGCTCAGGCTGGCTTTGAACTCCTGCTAGTTGAGCGATCCCCTCGCCTTGGCCTCTCCAAGAGCACTAGGATTACGGCGCATCGACCACAATGCCCAGCCTGTTTTTTTTTAAATAGATGCGCCAGGTTGTTAACAAGAGGGAGATTAAATTAGCAATACAATACATGATATTGTTAGAAAAGCAATTTGGCTGTTATGCAAATAAAACGCACAAATATAGTCAAACCATCTTAATCCAGAAATCTCCCTGGAAGCTATTCTGTAACTCTTTTTCAGAATACAGGAATATTCAATTTAAAGTAAAAGAAACAATAAGAAGAATATATTATAATATTATTTAATAAAGTAAAATATCATAGAATCAGAATGTAAATGATATGGCTAAGTAAAGTGGGGCATACCCACTAGGAATGGTTCACTAATATGCTGTCTTACCCTGATTTTTTTTGCATTGAAGAAAGGTTAAGTGAGGTAGATTTTTTTTTTTTTTTTTTTTGAGAAGAGTCTTGCTTTGTGGCCCAGGCTAAGCTGAGACTGCTTGCTCAGGCTGGTTTTGAACTCCTGACTTTGAGTGATCCACCCACCTCGCTCCCCAGAGTGCTAGGATTACACTTGAGCCACCACGCTCAGCACAATAATCAGTTTTAAAAGAACAACATTATAGTGCAATATACTACACAAACATAACATAAACATAAACTTCAAAAAAGAATTCTGAGGCCGGGCTGTGGCTCACGCCTGTAACCCTAGCTCTTGGGAGGCCGAGGCGGCGGATTGCTCAAGGTCAGGAGTTCAACACCGCTGCAAGAAGCGAACCCGTTTCTACTAAATACGAAAGAATTAATTGGCAACTGATATATATATATAAAAAAGAATTAGCCGGCATGGTGCGCACATGCTGTAGTCCCAGCTATCGGAGGCTGAGGTAGAGGATCACTCGAGCCCAGGGATTTAGGTTGCTGTGAGCAGCGGCTGACGCCACGGCACTCACTCTCAAGCCTGGACCACAAGCGAGACTCTGTCTCAAAAAAAAAAAAAAAAAGAATTCTGAAAGATTCTCCAGAGGTGGAATAAAAAGAAAATGTTTTTATAAATATGAATCTATGACTTTTTTACTGCTTATATTTTTCAATTTTTGGTCATATGATTCTGATATTTATAATCTTTTAAGCTATTTAAGATATCAGCATAAAATTATTACAGAAAAATTCATGGGCTTATATTAAGTGAACTTTAAGACCCTAAACTCTGAATTTATTGATTCTATAAATTATTCCATGGAGGAAAATAAAGGGGGAAGACATTAAAGAAACCAATATAAGGCCGGGCGCAGTGGCCCACACCTGTAATCCTAGCACTCTGGGAGGCCTAGGCGGGCGGATCGCTCTGGGTCAGGAGTTTGAAACCAGCCTGAGCAAGAGCGAGACCCCGTCTCTACTATAAATAGAAAGAAATTAATTGGCCAACTAATATATAATAAAAAATAGCCGGGCATGGTGGTCGACGCTGTAGTCCCAGCTACTCGGGAGGCTGAGGCAGGCAGGATTGCTTGAGCCCAGGAGTTTGAGGTTGCTGTGAGCTAGGCTGATGCCATGGCACTCACTCTAGCCTGGGCAACAAAGCGAGACTCTGTCTCAAAAAAAAAAAAAAGAAAAGAAAAAGAAAGAAACCAATATAGCGCTGTATAGAAAAATCTGGTGAGTTACTATGAAAAATAATAAATGTAATGTTTAGAAAAAAAGGTCCATAATGAAGGATAAATGTAAAATATTCATCTAATCAAGGTAAAAAAAATTTTTTTTAATTTGAGAGTATCCAGAAACAGGACCAAGGTAAAATTTTTAATATCCCATCAAACACATTCATGTAAGTGTCATCTTAATAACAATTCAAGGACATAATTGTAAAATGTTTAAGCTGCTAAAAGTAAAAATTTTGGATGGGGAAAAAAGAACTATTGTTAAGAAAAGGAACTTCACATTTTGATGTATTTAACTTTCATAACATTCTCATAAGGAATTATTTCTGGCCAGATGCAGTGGTTCATGCCTACAGTCCTAGCACTTTGAGAGGCCAATGCAGGAGGATCACTTGAGGCCAGGAGTTCTAGACCAGCCTGGGCAACGTAGTCAGATCCCATCTTTACCGAGAAAGAAAAAAATTAGCCAGGCACGGTGATGTACATCTGTAGTCCCAGCTTCTCAGGAGGCTGAGGCCAGAGGCTCACTGGAGCGCAGCAGTTTGATGTTGTAGTGAGCTAGGATCATGCCACTGCCCTCCAGCCCAGGCAACAGAGCAAGAGCCTATCTCAGAAAGAAAAAGGAATTATTTTCTATTCTAAAAATTAACACAAACTGAACACTTACCTCCTTTCAGAGCCCTACAAAAAGAATAAATGTCGTTAGATCCTCGGCAAATAACTTCTTTGCGCTTTGGAAGCTCCATGGAGTTGATAGATATATAGAGATTGAAATATAATTTGTTTAAGTCTCTCCCTAAAAGGAAAAAAATCTCATTAGCCCCTCAAATAAGAGATTCTTTTACACATAATTAATTGTACACTTAAAATGTGCCCTGTGCTTTTCCCTTATTATTTCATTTAATCATCACAACCATCTACCAGGTGGTTATTAATATCCTTGTTCTGCAGATAAGAAAACTGAAGTTTTGAGAGGGTAACTAGTAGATTGTAATCAAATAAAATGTTCCTCAGTAGCAACTATGTATGCTATGTCTAAAAATAGAGAAACTTTCATAGCCTGATTGAGAAAACTATCAAATGCTGGCATATAATTTCCAGTTCTAGTCACAGTTGCACTAGAAAATTCAAAGGAAAGGAAAGGGAAAGGAAAGGAAGTGAGACTAGTCAATGTTCGAAGACATTTGATGAAAGATTTCTTAGAGAATAAAATTGAATCTTGTGCTTAAAAATTAAATGGATGGCTATTTTTTTATTTTCTCATGATCTCTCCCTATTACCAATTAACATGGAAAATTCCAGTAAAGAATGCATTTTGATCTTCAGCTGGCCCATATGAAAAAGATGCACAAATCCTTTTTATGATAAAAAGAATTTTGTAACCACTACCTCACTGAAAATGTTTTCCTAATAATATCACCGTGACTCATTCACTGTAGCCATAATCAAAAGACAAGACTTTTCTCTCTTTAATTTAAACTTGGCTGTGCTTAACAGAACCGCCTGCTCCTCTCTCTAAACCCTCTTGGCGTGGATGCCACCACTCTTCCAGCTGTCCTCCTGCCTCTCTGACTCCGTCTCCTCAGTCTATGTCATTGACTCCTCCTTCTCAGGGTTCTATCCTCATTCTCCTCAATTTTCACTCTGCACACTCTCCTGGGCTTTAAGTACCACACTCTGTGATAATTCCCAAATCCACATCTTTAGTCTCAACCTTTCTCCTGAGCCCCTATCCCCATGTATTCATTCAACATCTCTACTCGAATATTGCTCAATTACCTTACCCAATAGATCCGAAAGTGATTTCCTCATCTTCACGACCAAATTAGCACTAGTATTCCCAGTCCCTGTAAGTCTTCCTACCCTCCTTTTCGACCCCATTTCTACTGCCTTAATGCAGGCCCTCATTACTCTGATCCTAAAGTACCACCAAACTTCCTAATTTGTCTCTATTTCTCTACTTTCAGACTAGAGTGTACAAAAGAAGAACATCTACTTCAAACAGCAGTCCCATGGCCTATTCCATGGACCAGGACCTGAACTTTTGCAAAAAGAAGAAGTCGAAGTTGTGTGTAGAAGTTGTGTAGAAGTTGAAGAGCTGTTTTCACAAGGAATTCCTGGAGACTCTGAGACACAAAACAACACTGCTATGGTATCATACAATGACAATGCAGGACAAAGGACCTTCTTCCATTTCTGCACAAAACACAGCATGATTCCAGTCTTCAGTGACTCTAAGAAAGGAAGTTCTGCTTTGAAAACTCAATAGTTTACATTGTGAGAAGCTTCTTAGCCTAGGACACCACTGTGGTCATTTAGGAACATGAAAATGGCAATAGTGAGGTACCACTTTTGTGGCTCAGCAGGCCAGGGATATCAATTGTGGTGAGAGACAAGAAACATGGTGGCTGCCATGTGGTATAAAAGAGGACTATTTTTGAGCTCATCTAAGACAACTCCAGGAACTCCCATAAATACCCTTGATGGTGGATTATGGTCCAGTTTTATTTGTTGTCTATCAGTTAATAGTATAGAAATAATTTACTAGAAAGGCTATGAAGTCTCAAAATACATAATTTCCATTTTCATTCCCAACCTATGTTTGGTGCAAGTCTGTACTTATGTCTCTTACTGAATTTAAGTAGAAATAAGGCCATAAAAATAAGGTTGACCTCTACAAATGTGGCCCCACACTTCATACTAATGTTCTAATATATTCTATGAAAGTTTTCAAGATATCAGAACTGGACTCTAACCTGAATTTATTTTTTGCCTACCCTGGCTTCCTCTCTCCCTTATTGTTCGAAAGCATTTCCCCCAGTCAATCTCTGGCAAGTCTAATTCCTCCTTAGTGTCTGCTTTTCAGAGAGCCCTAAGTGTTTCCACCTTGTCTTATTATTTGGGCCTGGAAGGATACAACCTGCTTCTTGCCTGTAAGGGCAAGAGATTCACTTGAAAGTGGGATCCTTCATTGTGTAAATCATCTCTTATGCCAAACACCTGAGGATAAAGCCTACCCAATAGACAAGAAAACAGAACCTGGGACAAGGAAAAAATTGTAGCACCTTAACCAGGCAGAAATTTAGATTGTTTCTTTTACCCTTGGCCAGGAAGGTAGAGCAAACAGAGTTATTCTCTGCTCTATGTTACAGCCTTACTGCTATCATTTCACTTATCATACCTTATTCTCTTCAGATCTTTCTCTTCTATTGCACTGATTCTTGTATAGAGTCTTGAAGATCAAAAGAATGTCTTAGGTAATTCACAGTGCCTAGCATAATACTTGAAATACATTTACTAGGTTTTTTTTAGTGAATAAATGAATGCAGAGACAAAGTGTGAAAATACAGGTTGAACAATTAGACGCAAAAAAACTAAAACATGAATTTAATGTCTATCACTACTGGGTTCTCAGTTTTATTTTCTTTTGTTTTTTGTTTTCCTTTTTTCTGGTAAGCTAGAGAATTAAAATCAGGGAAGAAATGTTTCTTTTCTTTTCTTTTCTTTTCTTTTCTTTTCTTTTCTTTTCTTTTCTTTTCTTTTCTTTTCTTTTCTTTTCTTTTCTTTTCTTTTCTTTTCTTTTCTTTTCTTTTTTTTTGAGACAGGGTCTCACTTTGTTGCCCAGGCTAGAGTGAGTGCTGTGGCGTCAGCCTAGCTCACAGCAATCTCAAACTCCTGGGCTCAAGCAATTCTACTGCCTCAGCCTCCCGAGTAGCTGGGACTACAGGCATGCGCCACCATGCCCGGCTAATTTTTTCTATATATATATTAGTTGGCCAATTAATTTCTTTCTATTTTTAGTAGAGACGGGGTCTCGCTCTTGCTCAGGCTGGTTTCGAACTCCTGACCTCGAGCAATCTGCCCGCCTCGGCCTCCCAGAGTAAGAAATGTTTCTTTAAGTGAATTTATGTGAAAATACTTTGCAAAGTATAAAACAAGCTCCAAATCTATACTGGATGTAAATTATGATGATGATAATGATAAAAATTAGAATTAAAGTTTTCTGGGATCCCAGAGCTTCCAAGCAATAAGCACCGTTGGCTGAATGGTAGTACAATATGAAAAGTGTTGTGTCTTCTCAGACACTCAGATGCAGCTCCATGCAATCGCCACCATCTGCATTAGTTTTTACTAAGCTGACAATAAGCAAAGTCACCAAGAGGAAAAATAGACACAGCACAAAGCAAAACAAAACACACTACCTCCTTTCACCCCATTATCACCATATTTTTCTTTAGAAAGATCATCTTTTGAAAAAAAGTCTTGGCTTGCTCACACACAGATCTTTGACTAGTGGAAACCCAATATTACTTATCAGCTGAATAGCTAATGATGGACAAAGGATATACCTATTAGATTGTTAGAAGTCTCAGGTTATTTCCATTGCTATCCACATGTCCTTGTGTAATTCTCTCCTCATAGCATAAGCTGGCCTAGTGACTTGCTTCTAACCAATAGAAGACAGCAAAGGTGGATAGACTGTCACCTCTGTGATTATGCTGCGTAAGACTTACTTCTGTCTTGTTGGCTGACTATCCCCCTTGCTGGCTTTGAAGAAGCAAGCCATGTTGAAAATGCCCATGTGGCAAGGAACTGAGGAATAGCCAACAGCCAGCAAGAAAATGAATACCACCAATAACCACATGAGTTTAGAGGCAGATTCTGCCATAGTTGAGCCTCAGAAGAGAGCCCAGTCCTGGTCAACACCTTTGTGGGAAACCTTGAAGCAGACACAGGTAAGCCATGCTCAGACGACTGTCCCACAGAGACTATGAGATAATAAATGTGCGCTGTGTTAAGCCACTAAGACTGGGGTAATTTGTTACATAGCAAAAGTAACTGATATATTTGGAACACAATTATTTATCATCGATATTTCCTAAACCCTTTAATTGATCTATAACAAAAAATTTGGACTTACTTGGAATGAAGTAAAGATGCAAAAGTCCTCTGGTTCCCTTCAATGTTATACAAGGGTTAACATTAACTGAAATAGGGTATTCCATGTGATCTAAATGAAATAAAAATAATGTCAATAAATTATTATAAATCACTTCCAATAAATATAGCATTCTGGATATCAGCCTCTATCAGATGTCTTTTGCATTTAAATTATGTAATGAGAAAAATTGACGGTGGTTGAAAATATATCCCCACAGAATAATATTAACAACATAGCAGAATAGGAAGCCCTGGACTCCCTTTGTTCCTACAAACACAATGATTCACAAATTCTCTTTGTGAGGAATCTAACTGAAAGAGTCCTACACCCCAGGAAAACATGAAACCAGACTCACCAAAACCTGTAGGGAGATGTGGGGTCACTCTCTATCCAGAGACCCTTACCCTGGTGCAGTCCCATACAATCAGGGAGAGACCCCCTAGTTCCCAGCTTTACCCTGAAATGGAAGAAGTTGGTTCATGTGTCCAGCACACTAACTTATTCATGGGGACCCCTCAAAGGACTGGTTTATGTCTTGCCAGTCTTGGAGCTCTGATGGGTCTGGCACAGTCTGCCACCCAAGGAGAATGATGGCAGTGGCTTGGGCTAGCAGGCATCATTGATTCTTCCCTCTGTTCAGCACAAAGTGAGCAGATGAAAAAAATCCCAGCTCTTAGCTTTCTCCTGGGGAGAGAAAGAGTTGATCTATGTATATGGCACACCAACTACTCTGGGAGTCCCCCAAATTGGTATCTGTATCACCAGTCCTGGAGCTCTGACAGATCTGGCATACTCTAGCTGCCTGGGCGAGAATGAAGACAGCAGCTTGGGATAGTAGATGCCATAGCTCCCTCCCTCACCCAATCCCAAGCTCAGCAAAGAATGAGTGGACAAAACCCACAGCATCCTGCTTATCTCTGAAGAGGGAAATAGTTGGTAGAAGTCCTCAGAATCTGACCAGGCTGATGAGTAGGGGGCCTTTCCCGTGTGAAGCCAATCCATGAAGACTAGGAGAGATGCCTGCTTTGTCTAATGTGCAGACAACGAAACAGAGAGTCAAGGAAAATGAAAATTTAGGCAAAGATGTTTCGAACAAAGGAATGAAAAACATCTCCATAACTGACCCTAAGGAAATGAAGTTATATGATTTATATGACAGAGAGTTTAACCCATTGACTGCCACAATAGAAAAAAAAATGTCCTTAGGGCCATGATGTTTTATTACAAAAATAGAATAAAAACTTTGAAAATAAAACGATCCTTTCTAATTTAATGAAAAATATGTTTTTTTTTATTGTTTTATGTGCGTGAGTTATATGCAACTTGAAAAATAGTTCACACTCAAGGTAAAGAGACGTATGAATTACATATACTTCACAAGGCCCCAGGCTCAAAACTATACAACTCACATGGCACTTAATGTGTTAAAATAACTCTCATAATGATGTTTACCAAGATCAAGAGAACAATGCATGAAAGAAAGGAGAATTTCAACAAAAAGAGAGAATACCAAAAAGTACCATACAACATTACATGTACCCCAGAAATATATGCAACTATTATGTACCTATAATAATTAAAAATCTTTTAAGTACCACAGAACAAGCAGCGGAGTCTATCAGTTATGGCCTCCAACTTTAGGAAGACTTACATGGTATTAAGCGCCAGCAAAAAGGACAGTCATAAGCCTGAGCTGACTGAAAAGCAGAAATAGGAAATCCAGGAAGCTTTTGATCTTTTCCATGCTGATGGAACTGGGACTAGAGATGTTAAGGAACTTAAGGTGGCAATGAAGGCCCTGGGCTTTGAACCCATGAAAGAAGAAATTGATAAGGAAGGGACAAGAAAAATGGATTTTATTGACTTTTTGACTGTGATGACTTAGAAAATATCTGAGAAAGATAACAAAGAAGAAATCTTGAAAGCTTTCAAGCTTTCTAATAATGATGAAATTGGGAAGCTTTCATTCAAAAACCTGAAACCTGGCCGGGCGCGGTGGCTCACGCCTGTAATCCTAGCTCTCTGGGAGGCCGAGGCGGGCGGATTGCTCAAGGTCAGGAGTTCAAAACCAGCCTGAGCAAGAGCAAGACCCCGTCTCTACTATAAATAGAAAGAAATTAATTGGCCAACTGATATATATATAAAATTAGCCGGGCATGGTGGCACATGCCTGTAGTCCCAGCTACTCGGGAGGCTGAGGCAGTAGGATCGCTTGAGCCCAGGAGTTTGAGGTTGCTGTGAGCTAGACTGATGCCACGGCACTCACTCTTGCCTGGACAACAAAGCAAGACTCTGTCTCAAAAAAAAAAAAAAAAAAAACCTGAAACCTGTGGCCAAGGAGTTGGGTGAGAACCTGACTGATGAGGAGTTGCAGGAAATGATTGATGAAGCTGATCGAGATGGAGATGGAGAGGTTGGTGAGCAAGAGTTCCTGCACATCATGAAGAAGACCAGCCTTTATTAAGATCAGTGTCTTTTCTACTGCAAGCACACATAACTAAGTTTACTGTCTGCTATTGTGTGAAATTTGGCTTCTAAGAACACAAACTATTTTCCCCCACTGACCTCCCTGTATAACTGTAGTTATGACCTTGAATCTATTTTCAACTTTTGGAAGTGTTCTTTGATATTATAGTTCCTTGTAAAATTATCTGCTGATTACTTTAATTCTCAAAAACAAGAGCACATTACAGTGGAGAAAAGGATCTTAAAGCTTATACCACCTGCCATCTGCCATTTTGCCTTGCATTGTTTCATTCTTGTCATGCATTTCCACATATATGCAAACACAAACCCAGGACTTTGCCAAAGAGCAACCTGTGGACATGTCAGTTCACTGAGCAAAAGCTGCTCGACCTTGAGGGGGACATTCCACAGAACAGGGATGTCTGCAAATGGACCCCACCTTGAAGTCTAAGGGGCACAGCTTGGATGTCTGCAAACAACTCGGGCTTGTAATCAAAGGCAAAGAGAATGATCAAAGGATGTCAGCCCAGCAAATAAGAGCAGTTTGCTATTCTAAGCCTGAGGCAATGTTCCTATCTCTCTCCTAAGTTCAAGTCTCAGTAAAGGAGGAACTAGATAAAGTATGAAGAAATACGTAGTATCTTTGTTCCCGTTTGGATTATACACTTTATGATTTAATCTTTAACTTGTGTGTACTTAGCTAGTTTATTATTATTTGGGGAATCCTGGAAACTTAAACTCATGATATGTACATGTGAATCAGTGACTGATAATTGTAAGGCTGGTGGCGGGCTCCCCTCCTCTCCCTAGAAAAGAAAAGGCTCATGAGACCAGACCTACCAAGGACAAACTGCCAGGCCCCGCTGAGAACAACCACACTCAGATATCCACCCAGATAAGAAAGTTCTGGCTCCTAAATTCCGCAAATACCGCCAGCCCCTCCTATTTCTCAATGACCACCAAAGGTCACCCCAGATCTTCCCGCCAAAAGTCCCTAGCCCACCCCGAACAGTATAAAGGCCCCACACCCCCTCCAAACGGATGCAACTTCTTGCCCCCCACTTGGGACCCACAAACTTCATCCAGAAACGCACAATAAAGCTATACTGTTTGTCCTCACTCTCTCTCTTTCTCTCTCTGTTTCTTTCACCACCAGAAAACTTTAAAATAATAATTCTTTGCTGAAAGAATAAACATTGATGCTAGGCTCCACTCATAGCCTCCTAGCTCAGGGGAATGCTAGAGGACCCCTGATTTCCCTGTCACTTTGGTGTATACTTTGTCTCTGTCTCCTTTATTTCCAATCTCTTGTGACTTTCCTGCCTGGGACCCAATTTGTTGGGAGAGTCACAAACTCCCAGCATGTAATATCCTTTATAATAAACCAGTAAACATAAATGTTTCCCAGAGTTCTATGAGCTATTCTAACAAATGATCAAACCCAAGAGGGGCTCATGGGAACCTCCAACTTATAGCCAGTCAGAAGCACAAGTGACAACCTGGGGCTTGGATTTGGCATCTGAAGTGAAGGGTAGGTTTGTGGGACTAAGCCTTTAAAACTGTAGTATCTGATTCTAACTCCAGGTAGATAGTGAAAGAATTAAATTGAATTATAGGACATCCAGCTAGTGTCAGAGAATTGCTTGGTGTAGGAAGCCCCCATATATTTTGGTGACCAGAAGTGTTAAGAGTAAGAGTGGTGGTAGAGCATAGAGAAAAGAAATAGTTTTTTTTTCCTCTATATTAAATAACCACAAAAGACTATAAATAGAAGAATGAATCTTGAGAAAGAAGAACAAAGCTGGAAGCATCACACTTCTGGATTTCAAAATATATTATAAGTCTATAGATATCAAAACAGTATGATACTGGCATAAAGACATGTATATTTGCTACAAGTCTACCACTAGACTCAAGAATGTTGTAGGTCAACACTTAAAGATAAATTAGTTTTGTAGCCTTGCCTTTGACATTTGGATTTTACTCTTATGTTGCCTAGAAGGTTTAAAATGTTGATGAGTACCTGTCTAGCTCCAGTCCTGTTTGGCCTAAAACATTTAATTGGCTGTAAACCCCTATGTGGCTCTTTAGACCTCTTGACTACAAGGGTCCCCCCATGGACTGGATGGACCCAGGACAGGTAGCCACACCCCCTGGCATCAAATGGGACAAAATAAGAATTTGGCTATAGATTTTGGCCTCTGACAGATCTTGGCCAAAAGGAGGGAACTGTGAACTAAAATAAAATCTTATGGCTCACCCTACCACCACTGGCTGACTGAATGGATCCCCTCTTGGCCAACAGCATACTCTAAAACTAAATTGCCTGCCATGAGGAGGGAGATTAGACATGCCTCATCATGCCCCCTTTCCTTCTTGGAGACATCTTTTGTAACCCATTAACAGGTCTAAAGGTATGCAAGACAAATCTGCAGGTCTTCAAGTTACATAACAAATATGTCTGGTGGCTTGTCTCTGATTAACAGCTCCTTATCTTAAAACATTCCAAACATTCCATTTAGACAAAGCATTTCTTTAACCAATTACAAGTCAAAGAATCTTTAAACCCACCTATAACCTGTAAGCCCCCACTTCGAGATTGT